GAAACTAAACCATCCACATCCCTGGGGCTGCAGCCTGCTGACTGACCCTGCAGATGTTGGAATGTGCCAGGCCTCCATAATCATATAAGTCAATCTCTGTCTATCTATCTTTTATCTGAACTTAATAATGGGGATATGTTTTGATAAATGGATCAGTAGGCAATTTCATTACTGTGCAGATATCATAGTGTGCTTACACAAATTAAGGCAGCTACAATGTTATTAGGCAATTAATCATATGGTATCGTTTGTGTTTATGCAGTTCATCTTGACCAAAATGTTATGTGGCCTGGGACTCAAACAGATAGATAGATCTTCTATTGCCTCTTCTCTGAATAATCTTGACTAATACATATACCAAGAGTTGGTAAATACAGATTCAGTACAGTCTATCAATTAGCTCTCAAATTTGAAAAGTAATAAATAGTCTTTAAAACCCAGTTACTTATTTTGAACACTACTATGGATATTCATTATAGAACCCTACAGAATGACTGAGGCTATAGAAAAATAATCTTAGTCACTGAACTTGACCATTTGAATGTTTCAAGTATAAAATTCAAAGATGGGGATGGTGGCACACAACTGTGATCCCAGTCCTCGGGAGGTTGAGGCAAGAGTGGGGCAGAAACCTGATACTGAACCGGAAAGAAGGCACTTCACTTGGTGGAGTTTGGAAGACAAGGATTTTATGCTAGTGGACTGGAGGGAATCAGTTCCAAATCACCTACACTGACAGAGTGAAACAGACACATATATATTTTGCTATCAGCTGTAAAAGCTAATAGCAAGTTATGTAATTGGTTACATGAATTAAGTCATACATTATCAGGTAGAATTAGCTCCAGGGAATTGTTTATTATAAGGCGGGAAATTCTGGGAAAAAGAGTGCTGATCCAGACAGGCAGAGTTAAATGTGTCCTTGTCTGTATTATTTTGTCCTGGGTAGAAAGTACTTGAAACATACTAGAAAAATAAGCTATATTCTTAGGTAGGAAAATTTCAGGTTCTGATCTAGATCCCCAATCTCCCAAACAAGTGTACAATGAAGGCTTAAATAAATAAGACAAGTGGTATGATTTTAGGGCTCCAGGAGGATCAAAACCCTTTAGTCAGGTTTGAGACTGAGGGCTAAGACAAAGACTTCTCCAGACCACCCATATTCATTAGGTTCAAACAAAGTGTGGGGAAACTGAGGAAAGTTCAGGGAAATGAGCAGGACCTTGGAAGTCACTTCAAAGACTTCTCCACGTAGTAAGTTACGCCGTCTTATCTCCATGACGACATTTATGGTAGGAGTGAGACTACAGGAGTGAGAGAACCGCAGCTGCAGTCTTCATCCGCTTAAATGAAGTTTGAGTGAGGTGTCCTTGGCTGTGGCCTTGTCTTGCCCTTTGAGGTATCTCTGGCCTCACAGGCCACTACAGGCCTTGGCCAGGGCATGATTCATAGAGGTTCACTTACTATGAGTCAGCTCCCATTGCCAGGCAAGAGGCCTAGGCCTAGGATAGACCGACAGATAAGCACAGAAAGCCAATTAGTTAATTTTAAATCCTGCTCAAAGCCTCTTTGTAGTGGACGCTAACAGGAAAAAATAACCCTTGTAGCTTGACTGGGACAGGCTGACCTGAACCAGGTTATCTGTGAAAACAGCTGGACACAGACAGTCGAGGCTGACCAGGATTAGCTAATTATGTGACAGGCAGGTGAGCACATCTTGTCTCAATACAGTAACAAGCCATTAATTGATTTTTGAATCAATTTTCTTGCTATAAAATTTCCATTACACGAGCACTGCCACAGGTTGAAAACCAGCCTTTGCTACAGAGAGTTCAGCGTCAGTCTGGACTACATAGTGAGACTCTGTCTTGAAAAAAAAAAGCCAACAAAATAAAAAATAATGAAATAAAATTTAAAAAAACTAATACAGTGAAGGGTGAGGGCAAAGGGTCCTTGCTGAGTCAATTTGATCCTCTTTTAAGAGCTTTCCTGGAAGCTCAGTCACCTCTACCAGAATCCTGTCTAACATGCAGTCACCCTAGAGAGTCTGGGACTTGTAGTCTACAGCTGGGTACATGACATCATTTTTACTAAGGAAAAAGGGAGAAATGGGCGTCAGGTTAGCAACTAACCTGGCTTTTTCCATTGCATTCCAGTGTTTTCTCTCTCTTTTTTAAACATTATGTTGCCCTGGGCTGGCTTCAAACTCTCAGCAATCCTCCTTTGTCAGTCTCCCAAAGCTGAGATTACAAACATGCACCACCACCCCAGGCATCATACTGTTTCTCAGAATTCAGAATCCTGGCTCCGGACCACTTGGCCCAGGAATCAGAATTTTAGCAAACCCTTTTTCTTTTCCCTTTTGAGGCAGGGTTTTATGATGCTGGCCTCAAACTCGAAGCAATCTCCTGCCTCAGCCTTTGAGTACTGGGATTACAGGTGTGCAGCATCTCATCTTGCCAGTAAACCCTCTTAAGTGAGCGCTTGCAGCCAGCTCGACACCTGTTCACAAACATGCAGGGACCACTAATTATTCTGTCATAAAGGTCAAGCTTGAAAATCAACAATTAATAAACTATTAAATAGAGCATTTACTCATGACTCAACAAGTTTTGGCTCACTTGGAACCTGGAAACATTAGTTTTCATGTATTGTGAAAGGGGTTCTGTTAACTGTCCCTGGGATGCTGGAGACTTTCCCAGCCTGAGAAGCCAGGATCCAGGACAGAGAGCTTTGTGGCCACATTGCCATGGTGACTGTGCTGCTTTCAAAGCAATGATCCAGAGCCTGAGACACTGCCTAGCAGGGTATGAAGCTTGAGAAGTTGAGGGGCAGGGAGACCTTGCTGAAGAGCGATCCGAGGAAACCCCCGCTCTTAGTGGGCAGAGGCACCATTATCTGAGTGGCAGCTGCAGCCCGAGTGCCTGGCTCTTGATCCTTCGGGCCCTTGTGCATTTATTTGTGTGCCGGCCACACAGTGGCTGCTGATTTGCTCTCTTTCCTGTTTCACGCTGGCCTCTTCTGGGATCCTGCTCCTGCCCGGAGAGATAAGCAGCTGTCTGTACTTGTCTCCCTTCCAAGCAGCCGAAAACCTGCTTCTGCCAGTTTCTGAAACCTAAAAGCAACGCATGGCTCTTCCTGTTTTTCTGAATTTTGTTTTTATTTGTATCAGATGACAAACATCCTAAGGGCTACATATTAAGATTTATGTAGTGGCTCTTGCTGCTTGGTAGATGTCTAGGTGACTTTTACTTTGTTCTTTGAGCTTCCTAAATTTCCTTTGGTTTTCAAATGAGCATGAATAATGTTTATGGTAAAAGGAGCCATTGGAAACAGCCTGTAGTAAGCTTACTAGCACATTTAAACATTCACTGCAGTGTGACCTGCTTTTTTTCATAAGTATTCTGGAATTGAACTCAGGAACTTGCACTTGCCAGGCAGGCATTTATGCCACTGAGCAATCCCTTCCACAAGTATTTTATGTCTGGACGCATGTTCATTTGCATGTTAACAGGCATGTGAGGGGCTAAGCTTCAGCATATACATTGCAAGCTTCCATTCCTGGGACCAATTTTGTAGCTTCTGATTGTTGTAGCTTTGCTATAACTCCAAAAAGATCAACTAGACAAACAGCCCTATTTGGTTACATAACATTACAGCAATACTTTAAGTAATAGACACGGTTGCATTTGACTTTTCAAACACTTTTGGGAGTTTTTTACACATTTCCTAAATCTTGCCTCATTTGGGACTTTACCCAAATGTTGTTCTTATGGTTTTGTCTCAAGTATTCTGTTTGTGTTCTTCTATGCTAAAAGCATGAGATTACAAATAAAAGTTTATAGAGCTATAAATAGCAGCCCTCTTGCTCATTCTGTAATGAATCCTACCTTCTTCCTCCATCTGCTGCTTCAATTTACTCTACTTGATTTTAATTCTGCAAAATGCTACCTACGTTTTGGATAAAGTTGGAAGCCAGGGATAGTGAAAATAGTTCCAAATATAACCTCTTACTATTTTTTTGAGATGGGATTTCCCTTGTGATCTGATTTTTGTACCTGCTTTTACACACTTATAGGCGTATGCTACAATTTGTTCCACGTTTATTATTATTATTATGTGTGTGGTACTAGAGACTGAATCCGCAGCCCTGCCCTGAGCTACATCTCCAGTCCTTTTTTGCCCCCATTCCTTTTTTGACAGTTGCTAAATTGCCAAGCCTGCGCTCAAACTTGTTATCTTTCTGCCTCAGCCTTCCAGAGTGCTGGGATTCACAGTCCTGTTCACTATGCCTGTCCAAAGATTTTTTTTTTAAAGAAAATGACTGAAGACATGGTGGTGCACACATATAATGCCAGCACGCAGGAGGCTGGGGCAGGAGGACTGCAGTGAATTCAAGGCCAGCCTGGGCTACACAGTGAGACTGTCTTAAAAAGCCAACCGAGTTCACTTCAAGCAGCACCTATACTTAAAAAACCAACCAAACAAAAACAAACACATGCTGGTAGAGAACAAAATTGGCAGGGATGTATGCCATTCTTACAAACAGTGGTTTTTTAAGGATACGAAGGACTTTTACTTTAACATTTCTAAGAAGGTGATTTTCTTTAGAGAAAGGAAACCGGCAAGGAATTACCTTGTTGAAATAAAAATTTCAGTCATCCTTATGTTGATCCTGTTTTGTAGCTATTCATGTCCATTTCCATTAATATGAGGCAGAATATATCTATGTCTATATTTTACATATAGTACTATATTAGAGTATTTAGAAAACCAACATTATTTTTTTCACTATGTAAAAAATGTATTTTTTTGACCTATAAGAAAAACGTATTTATAATGTGAAACAGACCATTTGAGATGAAATTCAAGTAGAAGTTGACGGTGGAGGAATCTGTTAAGAACAGATCTGCTTATTTTATGTAAAGAGAATTAGGGTTAATTACCTGGTGCCAGAACAGGAGCTAATGGGAGGAAAGGGAAGAAACTACACAAACCAGTTCTAAAATGATCTCTGCATTTTTAATTTCTTAAAAGTCATGTCCACAGCACACTCCAAGCAATGCTTTGCTGCTTTGTGTCCAACAGCATTATGTTAGAAAACAAAACAAAAAATTTTTAAAAATTAGTTCTCTGAAATTTGTCAATAATTACCAGTCATGTAAATCTGTTTCAACATAGTAAACATTTCCAAATAGTAATGGTTCAATCCAAATCCAAAATCACACTCTGAAATGCATTAAAAGCTATAACAGAAACAAAAAATAAATATTTTTTAGGAAGAACAGATTTGGCATTATGAAATAATGTTAAAAGAGAAGCTTTCAAATGCAAATCGTGTCTAGATTTTTCCTTTTACTACCAGAGTGTTTGGGTCTTCAGTGGCTGCAAGCTGACCTCAGTGACTGGAGAGCAATTACCCGAGTCCTGAATTTCCTTCCCACAGAACCAATGTGCTTTCCAGCACAGGGCTTGCTTTTTAAGAGTAGTGTCCACCACAGGCTAAGAATATTAGAAATGGGGCCAGTTAGTTCACATGAGTTGCTGAATTTGGTGCCCAACTTGTTTTATACATTTTTAATATCTCTAATTAATTTGTTTTACTTCTCTCAAAATCTATCAACAATAAGTATCCAGTTTTAGTGAAATGAAAACTGAAATTTGTTTCGCCGACTGCATTAAAACACAGCCAGGTCTTACACTCTTCCAGATCATTTACACTTTATTATAATGCAGGGCTCAGCACCTCCAGGTACAGATAGCCCTGCCCTTTAACCTGAAAGTTTAGAAAAACTGGAAGGTAAATTTTGAAATTTGGCTGGGTAAGAAGTTTTCAGACAATTTCTCTTTCCAAAAGCCATGATGGTTTTGCTTAGATATGACATGAAAAAAAGCAGAATTCCACTCATTTTCATGATGCACCAATATGTATGTCCATCTCCACCCCCTACCTGAATCTCCACTTTCACTATTCTCCCCCAGGAGAGACATTTTCCTTTAGGATCATGGTCAGTCTGGAAAGAGAACTGGGAAGGGCTCATTTGAGAGTGACAAGGTATTTGAGGAAAAATGCAACACAAAAAAAGGTGAAGCAAGCCAAGATGTTGTCACCAAACCTCCCTTGTAAACACACCTGACCTTCCCTTACATATTTAGATACTGTTTTAAAATTCTCAGCACAACATTTTGTATCACAAGTCATGTATAGTTAATTCAGTCTCCCTCAGCTCCTTGCCCTTCAGTTGTTAAAGAATTCTATTATCCTGTTTGGAAGATGAGAGGTAGTGACATTTTATTCTCTTAATGTCAAGCTAAAAGTTCCACACATCTGGCACATGGGTTACGAGAGAGAAACACACAGGAGCACCATGGTCCGCTCCTGCACTCCGGGGACTTTGAGTGCCCGCGCTTCCCTTGCCACGGACGGTGGATAGGCCCGCGGCGACGCCAGAACGGGGTCCTGGGGTCCTGACGCTACTCGGGGCACAGTGCTGGCGGGCCGCCATCGTCCTTCAGAAACGCAGCCGCTTTCCTCCCGTTCTTCTGAACGTGATCTTCATTCATTTTCTCCAAAGCTTCGATCTGTAGAATCAATACATTGAGTCCATCTGTCAAATTGCTACTTTGAAGAAACACTGCAGACTCTGGCAATATTTTTACTCTTAATAATTATCTAGGACAGCAATGGTGAATCTTCTAGAGATTAAAGGCTCAAGCTGCAGCCCAAAACCCACTTATGTATCACCAAGTGCCAACACTGAATTAAACCTGAATACTGTTTTCAATGAATTCTATTTTTCGTTTCTTTTCTCTTCTATTTTTGGTACCTGGGATCAAACTCACAACCTTGCACTTGCCAGGCAAGCACTTATGCCAAATCCCTAGCCCCACTATTTTAGTTTAGAGAAAACAACTCATACATTAACATCATTTGACTTAAAAGAAACACACATGCTGGTCTTGAATTAAAATCATTATTTGGGGGGCTGGGGATTTAGCTCAGCGGCATAAGCGCCTGCCTTGCAAGTAGGCAATCGTGAGTTTGATCCCTGGTACCGATAAAAACGAAAAAGACCAAAAAAAACCAAAACAAAACAAAAAAAATCAGTATTTGGAAGCTGGGTATGGTGTCGAATGCCTATAATCCCAGAACTCAGGAGGCTGAGGCAGGAAGATTGCCACACCACAAATTCAAAGCCAGTCTGAACCACATAGCAAGACCCTGTCTCAAAAAACAAAGACAAGAAAATAGAATTATAGACATACATGTATGTTCACGGGCAACAGTTAGTACCTTTATGAAGCTAGCAACTGGCACCTAGTAGGTCTTACTGTGCTCAGACATACTCCTCATTTAACAGCTGAGTTCATTCCTGAGCTGGGTCGGCAAATGAACCGGTCACTAAATAAGGAATTGCATGTAGTCTGTATATTACAATTTTCAGAACAAAGAAACAGTCAAAGGAAACTCTGACTTGATGACTTTTTGCATAACCCTTACATGCAGTACTATAATGTATGACATAAAATACAGCACCGTACAGCACAAATTACAGTACTGTATAAACAAGGAGTACTGTGCAAAAAAAGGACACTGAGGCTGTATCAACAAGATGTACACAACTGTACAAAAAGGGACAGGTTATAAGCCCCAGCTGTGGGTCGTAAGTGTGAAAGTCGTTAAACAGCTAAGTCATTAAGTGAGCAGCATCTGTACTCTATAAAGCTTCCCAAGAATGGGACAAAGGAAAACCAACATTCGCTGAAACACTGAAACAGCCAGCAGTATTCTAGAGCTACTGTGCCGGGGCCGACACCCCATCCTCTGTTACCTCAGAGTTGATCACGAGTCTCCATAGATTCCCGAGCCACTCTCTGCTCGGCTATGATGCTGGGAATAATTAGCTACTGTTTCACAACTCTGCTCATTGTTCAGTCTTCTCTGGAGGGAGCTGTTTTTGTTTTTGTTTTTGTTTCATGGCCCTCTAGCTCCAATATTTCAATGACTGACGTTTTCTTAATTTTTCTTTTTTGTCTTTTTGAGACAGGGTCTCACTATGTGGTTCAGGCTGGCTTTGGGCTCACTTTATAGCCCAGGCTGGACTCGAACTTCCTGCCGCAGCCTCCCAGGTGCTGGCATTACAGGAGTGTGCCACCACACCTGGCTCTGTCTGAGTATTTTTGAGGAGGGCAGTTGCTAACTCTCTGTTGTGTTAAGGGCAGGGTTCATGCATCACTTTCTGTGTCACTGGGGTGTTTGCCAGTCACCCTCCTCAGTTAGGAAGCAAAAGCCAAACTATTTTAGAAACATGTTATTTGTTCATCTACATGTTATTTGTTCATCTGAACCAAATGGTGAACTTTGCTTTGCACCTGAAAATGACCAAACCTATCTCATGAAAAGTCTTGAGTTTGTTTTTTTAGGGGAGAAAGCGGAAACTTTGCCCTCAGTGCAGCTCTCATCACCACCCAGGTGACGCTGCCTGGCGCTTACCTCAGCTAAGAAATCCGCTTCATTATCCGCCGAGATGTTCAAGCCCGAAACAGCATTGAAAAGTTCCCGCTCACCCAGGGCTTCCTTCACGCCTCCCTTCTGGAAAAACTAAGCAAAACACAAGGGGGCCAGCAAGAGCCATTAGTGAGGTTCTCATCAAACCTCCGGAGCACAGCAAAGTGCGCTTCCCACCTCGGGCCCAACTCTGCAGTTTCCCACTCTGGGCTTCTGCGTGCCCAACCCTCACTCGCACAGCTGTGCCGGCTTCTGGACTCTGTCTGTTGTGCTACGCCTTCTGCAACTGGGAGTGGGACTCAGCTCTTTGGCTGTGTAGATGCAACACACTCACTAAGCCCCGTGAGCAGAAGCCTTCAGGCAGAAGTTATTTCCCATGAAGTTAGCCCATCTGTTAGAGAAGTCTCTCCTATCTGAATCTGCTGCTAACTCGGTTCCTTTCAAAGTGGCAAACAGTTGGAGTCCGACTCTGCTTACTAAGTTTGAACTCCCTGAATTTGATTTTCTTTTGGAGACAGAGTCTTGCTGTGTAGGTCAGGCTGGCCTTAAAAGCCACTCCACAGCCCCGGCTGACCTCCAACTCCTCCTGCCTTGGTCTCCCTTGTGCTGAGAGCACAGAGGCACAGCACTCTTTCTAATGACAGCTACCAGCCTCTTTCTAATGGCAGTAAGCATGCAAGCTTTGCCAGCTTGTGTTTAAGCACCGTGCACACAGTAAACACCTACTCAGCTGTTTAAATGTTAGGAGCCAATATTTTGCTCCTTGGGGAATTATGCAGAAAGGTGCGCCATGGAACCAAATTCTTGCTGAAAATGAAATCTGATAAACTGATCTTTCTCACTTTCATTCGGTCTCCTAAGCACATGGTCCTCAAGTTTACTTTATCTTTGGAAGGAGAAAATCCTTGAACCTGCTCCACCCCACGAACACGGCCCCCCACCAACAACCCACCTGGGAGACATTCCTGCAGTCCCGGAACAGGAACTCCAAGCCATGAGGATGAGTCGGCTCCACTGACTGACTGACATCAATCAGCCAGACCTGTGAGACACAGAACACACCGGTGTGTAAGTGTACAGAAGCCCCGGGGGGAGGCGGCACCCCAGCACTCGCAGGCGGCCCTCACCTTTCCGGCGTGCCACAGCATGTTGTACTCGCTGAGGTCGGCGTGTACCAGCGTGCACTCGTGATACAGCTGCTGCATCAGCTGCGGGGGCAAGGCAACACTTAGAAGTGGGAACAATTCAACCTTCCCATACCATTACCTGTGGATAAAAGCCTATCTCTTCTAGAAACACAGACAAGCCCGAGGAGCTCACTTCCCCTTTTTTTCATGATGCTGTGACTTGAACCCAGGGCCTGACGCATGCTAGACAAGTGCTCCACACTGAGCTGCATAGTCCAGGACTGGGCTAGGCAGGGTGGGGACTGAGTGCGTGACATGACTCATGACTCCCTGGCCTTGCACAGCACCATCAAGAGGCCGAGGGTCAGATGGCCTTCCCACCTGGGAAAGATGACGTCAGCCAGCCTGTGGTGACAACCAGGGCGCTGAGGAAAGCTACTTCCAGACAGAAAGGACACACCCCCTCAGGGGCTCCCACAGGGTTACATATTCCTGTAACTCACAGGCAAAGAGTATGGCCCCCTAGACTCAGCGTGGAAACCAACACTGATGCCTTCATCCGCTGCCCTTCGCAGAAGGACACAGTGCAGGCGCAGCACCACTTGGCCTCCTCCCCAGCTACCGACCTCCCAGCGGAGCCAGCGAATGGACCTGAGTATCCTTCTGGCAGGGAAAGGTGTCTCCTCCCCAGCCTCATCCGGCACCTTCTCCTGGGGAACCTTCCCATTCGCCCCAGCTGCTCTTGGCAGCAGCACCATGCACACGTGAGACGCAGTCCCTCGCAATCAGGCCGAGCAGTGCAGAGCCGTGAGCTCAGCACTGCCTGAAGCTCCGAGGCCGTGGGTGACATGCACTTGCTGTGCCCCCATGGGTGGCTCTCCACTGCAGGGCGGGCTCCTAACAGCTGCACCCCTCTCCTCCCTGCCCCGTCTCACAACAGATAAAACCTCAGCCTCCCTTCACTGTCACCCACGGAGTACAGACTGAGAAACACCACGTGGGCCACGTGCAGTGCCGCCAGTTTGACTGCAGGAAGTTTTGTGAAAAACAGCTTCATGTTTTAAGTCACTAAGGTGAACCACGAAGCTTTCTCTTGCTCTAAGGAGTCTTAAATTTTGTAAAACCACTCCAGGCCACGAATTTACCTAAAGAGAACTCTTGTTACCTTCTTTCACAAACTTTGGTTTGTCATTAACACCTTGAAATACTACTACTTCAGGGGCTGGAGATTTAGCTCAGCGGCATAAGCACTTGCCTTGCAAGCAGGCAGTCGTGAGTTCGATTCCCAGTACCGATAAAAAGGAAAAAGACAAAAAAAAAAAAAAAAAAGAAATACTACTACTTCAGGGAAATTTTTTACAGCTTAGAGGATGCTGGGCGGGGAGAGGGGGGGTCTCACAGTGTTGCCTTGGCTGGTCTTAAATTCCAGTCAAGTGATTCTCCTGCCTCAGCCTCCTGAGTAGCTTGGACTATAGGAGTTTGCCATCACACATGGCGAGAACAAATATTTTGAAAGTTGGTGCGTGAGTGCTTTTCAAGGCACGACTTACATGAAGTGTTTGATAGTAGGCTTCTTTCATTTCTTCACTACTGAGCTTTACTTCTTTTAATTTAGGGGCTGGAACTTGATCGTGGCCAATAAAAGACATCACTAAAATATGTTTCTTAAGAAGTACAACTGTTGGACAAGGAATTCCAGCTTTCTGCATTCTACACAGAAATAAACAATCAAGAATATAAAGATCAGAAGGAGAAAATGTCACTTCGTCAACAAATACCTAACCTGAGCTGGCACAATGTTCTACCCGGGCAGTGTCTCTCCACACACACAGCGAGACAAGTGTCTGCCCACTGAGAAGCCATGGACAGGTGGAAGGACAGTCACATGAGGGACATGGAGAGGACAGTGTGACAACTGCCTGCGCAGAGGTGTGGGCCAGTGCCACGGGAGCGCCTAGCACCACAGAGGGCTTTCCAGGGAGACCAAAGACAGGAAGCACAGCGGGTATTCAGAGCACAGGCCCCTTAGGGGACAGAGGTGTCAGCACACTGGGCCCCAGGAGAGGGTCAGGTGACGGGAACTGAGGCCTGGGGTGGGAGGGAGCTCCAGGTCATGAGTCCCTCCGTTCACACTAAACACTGTGGAAAGCTGACAAGGGGCCCGCAGTCTAGAAATGAGAGGGCAGCAAGACCACTGAGAGTTATTCTAGAAGGTTCTAAGGAGAAGAATTTTGCAACTAATACATACAATTACTTTTGAAAGCAAACATCTTTAGAAAACAATAAACTGAAACTATGTTTTCAACAGCTAATGAGAAGATTTATTAATAATAGTTTATAATTCAATTTCTTAGTTGATAAAAGACATTCCTTCATAGGAAAGAAACTTTGTACAGAACTGAGAAGTCCAATACAGCGAACTGCAATTTGATTGGTTAAGACCATATCCCATTAAATTAACAAATTATGAGGCCAGAAGGGAATTCACTATTTGTGCCAAGCTTAACTGGAAGCTAGACATTTTAATTCTCGGACAATTTAAAAGAACAATTAGAATGATGATATATCTAGGCAGAAAATGCCTAAATTTCCCCTCAAATCAGAGAAAAGAAAAAAGACAATGGCCTTTTCATTCTGAAATTCAGCTTAAATACATGGAAATATTTTCTTAGGAAGGCCTCATGAAGCACTAGAACTTCAAGTCCTTCTGTTATTTCAATAGGTGAATAGAAAAGAAAGCATGAATTTTTTTGCCCAGCTGGCAGTCCTAGTACAAAAAGGCCAAGATTCCGTCTAACACACAATTTTCTTTACCTTGTAAGATTGTGCATTTCTTTTTCTGCCCACATGCGGATGATCTTACGTGGATTTAGTTTACTGAAGCGATCTTTAAACCTGAAATCATCTTTAATGTATTTGTCACGATTCTTAAACTCATTAAGGGTTGTTTTAAATACCTTGATGGCACATTCTGTAGGTATAGCTTTAACGTCTTCCTTTCCATCCTCCATGCTAAGTGGGAGAAGAAAAATTAAATCAGTACACATTATCAGCTCACAAGTAAAATGATTTCTAAACAAAGGTTCCGCAACATTCAAGTGTATCTACCTGCTCTGAAAGTGCTAAGTCTTGGTTTCTGGAAGTCTTCCAGTTTCCGCTCTTAATAAAATCTTAGGTGTGGGAGTTGATTTGTTGAAGTGGGGGCCTTTTATGCTGCCCAGAACTCTGTTAAATTCCTAGGACTACTCACCCATCACTGCCTCCATCTCTGCTTTTTTTTTTTTTTTTTTTTTTTTAATTTTGAGATGGTCTTGCTAAGTTTCCCGGGCTGAACTTGAACTCATGATCTTCCTGCCTCAACTTCCCAAATTGTCAGCCAGTTTTAAACAATGTTCACTTAATGATTATGGAATCAAGCATGGAAAACAATGACAAGATCTGAATGTTAAAAAGTCTAGTCTACCTAGGAGAGGTCAAGGGTAAACTTCAATAGAAGTCTCTTACAGAACAGCTCTTTAAAAATAACTCTCCCACTCAGGGCAGATATAAGGATGAAGGGGGAGGGTCCCTGCAGGGAGTGTGCAAAGGGGGCCAGGGAGGATAAAGACATGGGAAGGACAGAGACAAGCTGCACAGGAGACGTCCCAGGGGAGCAGGATTCTGGGTAGGCTTCATACGACAATAACAGAAGCAGAGAGGCAGGATCCCCGGGCACTGGAGAGAAGCCCCAAGCAGACAGCCCAAAGGCGGCTGGGTGTGGAAGCACAGCTGAGGACCACTCCTGATGCTGGCGCCGTAGGGAGTCAAAGTAGGGAGAGCCACGGTGAGGATGGTGGGGACAGGAGACATCAGTACAGTGTCCACCCCTCCTCCTGAGGCCACTGTTGGCACAGGATGCAGCGAGAAGCGGAGCAGCCCCTTCCACACCAGGCCAGGGCCAGGCCTCGATCACTGGGTCTCTAGGTAGCACCAGGTGACCCTTCCTCCCCCTGGGGCCCTGCGTGTTGCCTCAGCTTCACTGTCCTCTGTGTGCAACACCCACACTTCTCTACCAGCTTCTTTTAGTCTAGCAGGGGTCACCCCAGGAACAGCACCATAGGGGCTGCTCTAGCCAAAAGCACCCCATATCCACCCCAGCTCATGGCCTTTGCACACACAGCCCCAGGCTCCTCTCCTTTACTCTTACTACCATTGAGTCCAATCACCATCCTTGAATTCACTGTGTAGCCCAGGCTGCCCTGTACTGTCTGCAATCCTCCTGCCTCAGCCTCCCGAGTGCTGAGATTACAGGTACACAGCACCACACCCAGCTTAACCGTTCATTTTAAAATAATCTGTACTATTATATTATTTTAACTTGGTCTCAGAGAACTCTTAGGTGAAATTTAGAAAGGGAGCAAAGCTTAAAAGCTGAAACAAACCTCTACTAAGAGAGGTATTATAAACCAGCTATTGTCAAATATGATCTCATTTATCCCTACAAAAATTCCATGAGGTGAAGAGCAATTTTTAAATGATATTTAGTAAGCTACAAAATCACACAACTTGAAAAATGATGCTCCAATGTTAACTTTTTTTCTTTTAACTTTGTTTTTCTTTTTAGTGCTGGGGTCAAACCCAGGCCTCATGCATGCTTGTATTTTAACAGAGGTACAATACTGAGCCCCAATTTTTCCCCCTGTGCTGGGAACTGAACCCAAGGCTCTTGCACTGAATTACATCTGCAGTCCCTTTATTTTATTATTTTGAGACAAGCTGAGTTCCTAAATTGTCTAGGCTGGGCTCAACTTATGATCTTCCTGCCTCAGCCTCCCAGAGTGCTAGATGATAGGTGTATGTCACCACACCAGACTCCTAACATTGATTTATGTTTAGAAGTGTAATTCAATACATAATTGTATGTGAATGTCCTAGCTAGAAAGGGAAACAAGTTCAATAGTTAAGGAAAATAATCAGCTTCCCGGCTAGAGGCTTTCATCACACTTTTTAAGCGCCTCTGCTTGTTATGCAGCATTAACTCTGATGTGGTATAAACCCACCAATCCTGGGGGGTGGCTGTGCTCGCGGGCTCACAGTGGCCGTGTTACCATCGGCTCCTTTACCTCCCTCCATATGCGTGGAAGACGACCGATTCCTTCCCGGTGCTGATGCAGCCAGTGATCGTCTCCAGCATCCCAGAGTTGACCATTTTATACATGAGCAAGCGTGTCTTAGGGTCAACTGCTTTTTCCTGCCAAAGATAAGGCACCGTGAGGACGACCGAATCATGGGACAAACCCGGAGCCATTTCTAGTATCAAACACTCAAAATCCATCTGGATATTTTTAACTTTTATTATTTAATATATATATATTATTTAATACATACACACACACACACACACACACACACACACACACACACACACACATATATAGTAACATATAATATTTTAAAGGACTGCTTTCAAGATACCAAAAAAAAAAAAAAAAATCTCTAAACCAGTGCAAAAAAGAGCGGGGTGTGGTGACAAACGCCTATAATTCCAGCACTCAGAAGGCTGAGGCAGGAAAATCACTGAAAGTTTTGAGGCCAACCTGAACTGCATAACAAGACCCTGCCTCAAAAATAAAATAAAACAACACATCTCCAGCGTCTTTCAAAGTGAGTACCTATAGCAGTGGTGGCGAACCTACGGCACACAAACCCCAGCAGGCACGAGAACCCTCTGTCGGCAGGTGAGCCAACTGTGTGCACTGTTTTTCCAAACTAAAACCTCAGTATTCAGGTTTCATTGCAGTGTTGGCATTTTGCAAAATAAGTGGGTTTGGGGTTACAGTTTGGACCCTCAGTCTCTAAAAGTTCTGCCATCGCTAACCTACAAGGATACCAGGTCACCAAGTCACATCCAGAGTGTGATTCTGGGCTGGAGCATGGGGTCTGGGCCTCCAGCTAGGTCATGACTCATGGTCAGTACTTCTGCAAGCATCATTCTCACAGCTCAGGGTTTCCTCAAGGGCAACCCCAGAGGGACGCATGTCCCAAGGGAGGGAGCTACTGACAGTGACTGCCAAGAGGGAGGACACGGGGAAGATACGGGGCAAAGCGCCTCGGGTTCAGTCTGTCTGGGTGTGGTCCCACACTGCACTGGCATGGTGGCCTGGGGAGTGCTCCATGCTACACCTGGTGCTGATCCAGAGTGAGTCCAGCTACTTCTCCTCCTGGTCACTGAGCACCGACCAGCTGTCACCTTCTCTTCACCCCGACTCCCCACTTGCTGGCTAGACAGGCAGGACTGGAAAGGAGTGCAGGGCCTCTGGCTTCTCTACCAAAGCCTGGCCATGGAGCCTGCACCCTCCTCCCAGGCAGTACACTTAGGGGACCAGGGACAAAGACAGCCATGGTCCCAAATGTCGCCATGGCCCTGGTGATATCAGTAATAAACCCAGGGCTCCTTGCCCAAGGGTACCCTCACCTCCTCTGGTGTCCTCCTCCCCTGGCCCCATGGAGGCGACCATGCCCCAGGAGCAGCAAATCCAAGCCAGGACAAGGTGGTAGGGGGCACTGCCCGCTGCCTTCTGCTTATAGCAATAAGCATAGCGCTCCTCCACCCCAGGGGCTCAGTAAGGGGTGCGCACTGGGGTGGCCAAGCAGACACGTCCTGCAGCAATCTCTTTCAGTCGGACCCACCTGGCAGCCCCTTCTGGGCTCCCCCCTCCAGCTCTGACCCCTTTCCCACTTTCCCCTCTGTGAGAGTGGCACCCTGCAACACACAAGCAGTTTAGTGGAACATGAAACAACACCCGCTCTCCTACTGCAGGACCAAGACCCAGGCCTGCCCTGCGGGCTCTGTGCGACTCTCTGAAGCCTCCTGGGCTTGTTCAAGAGCAGCAGCTGTGACTTTCATATTCTGCCTTTAATCCAAATACTGGAAACAGAGACCAAAAAGAAAATGCTCACACGTGAGCCTAATTTATCACCAGCGTTTAAACAGCACTTAGCATTCTTACAGTTTTCCTGAGACTTCATAAATCAGCTTATTCTCATAAGAGTAGATATCACCTTCATTAATGCCAAACTAGCCTAAAGGTATTAAGTTATGAATATGTCAGTAACATAACAGATTTTTTTTTTTGAGACAGGTTCTCGATGTATAGGTTCGGGCTGGTCTTGAACTCACTATGTAGTCTTGGCTGATCTCAGATTCACAATGATCCTCCTACCTCAGCCTCCTAAGTGCTAGGATTACAGGTATGTGCCACCACACCAGGCCTAGGAAATATTATTTTAAATTTAAAATTTTACATATATATATATATATATATATATATATATATATATATATATATATATATTTTTTTTTTTTTTTTTTGGTAGTACCAGAAATCAAACTCAGGACCTTGTACTTGCCAGGCAGGCTTAAGCCACTGAACTATATTCCTGGTCCTTAAATAATACTATTTAAAAATACTGGGACATTCAGTTGTAATGTAAACTATACAGTTCAAATTATTTATGGCCACAAAATGTGAATTTAAATGACTAATAGACATCACATTAAATCTAAAAAGCCAAACAGCAAAGCCATTTGAGTTTTATTTATGTCTTCTGATTTGAAAGCCAATCTTACAAAAAAGCATCACATGTGAAGTTTTGTCTTGTTTCATGCAAACATGAAGATTTCCAATATGAATTTTTCCATTAAAAAAAAACACCCCAGATACCTACTGCAGTGGAATGCTCCTTTTTCTCATGCAGGCGGGCGCTCCGGCGTTCTTCAGAGTAGGCGTGTTGTTTTAAAGCATTGAAAACATGATTTGATAGTTTTAAGTCCATTCCAATTCCATCTCCTACCTGAAACCCAGGGGCAAACTGCCAAAAATAGAAGAATTAGCATCTGAATATTTTTAGACAGAAATACAAAAAAAAGCATTGAGAAGATCAGTCAATAGGAACAGAGCTCACATTCGATACTTGATCATGCTACAAAAACAGAACCCATAGCTACTACAGAGGGAAAAAAACCAAAAACTCACTCATTCAAAGAACATTAGTCCGTTTTGTTTGTTTTCGAGACAGGTCTCACTATGCAGTTCAGGCTGGACTTGAACTTGCTATGTAGCCCAGACCTGCACTGAATTCACAGAAATCCTCTTGCTTCAGCCTCCCAAGTGCTGGGATTACAGGCGTGCACCACCATGCCAGCCTCTAGAATGCAACTTCTTTAAAATTATTTTATTTCTGATTTTGCAGGAGGTAGTTCAGGCACAAAACAAAAAATTCCAGATGAAGTACAGATAAGTGGCAGAAGAGTTGCCCAGTTAGTACGTGTGAGGCCCTACTGTTCAATTCTCAGGGCTGAATAAAAAATCCGAAAGTATTTTTCACTCTCATTACTAGCCCCAGTAGCCTCTGTTGTTTGTTTCTTGGATAGAGGGTGCTATTTTATAAAATATAATATGCAGAAAAATAAATGCTGTATAAGAACTCTTTAACTTTAGAATCAACATAAATAAATTAGCTTTCAAAATCCTGCTGGAGGGTTTCATTCTGAAGCACTTGTGTTTCTTCGGTGGCTGAGCTTTCATATCTAAAATATCTTTAAGAAAGAAGACACTTGTAGACAAACTGAAGAGTCTACTTCTAATCCTGTTTTTACAGTGTATTCACATATAAAACTACAGCGGGAGAGACGGACTCTGTAACTCACATTTTCCATTCTTGCTGTATTCTTTCTGCCGCACACCACTTCGTCGTGTTTGGTGGTGATATCTTTTCCTTTTCCAATAAAACCCTTTTTGGGAGTGGGAACTGGTTTTGCTAAAGATGATTAAAACAAGCCAAGGATGTGAAAATAGTAAAAACTAAACTGCTATACACAACACTGCCTGAACAGACATTTGAGCCTAACAGTAAACTACCAGCTGTGGCTCCCAGATGACCATGAAACTAAAAGGGTGCATTGGGAAAATCAAGCTTCCTGCCCCTCTGTGTCCCCCTCGCAACTCCGAGGTCATCCATACCTGGCCTGTAGGGGTCGTGGCGAGTGTCCTGCCAGTCAACTTCGTCTTCAGAGCTGTCGCTGTCTTCAAAGGGATGCACTTTTCGGTAATTTTCAAAGGAAATGGAAACTGAAATGGCAAAAAGAGTTGAAGATTTATTTGGGGCCATGGTGCAAGCACTTCCTCCCACCACCGCAGGCATCGGGAAAAGGCCACTCTACCTTTGCTGTCGCCATTGAATTTTTTTTCTTCACGCCTCAACTGGGCATCGTATTCTCTGTCAAACTCCATTTGCAGCATCTGAGCCAGCATCAGGTCGCTGGAAGTGTCAACGTTTTCCCCCGAAATGAATGGTCCTTCAGTGACACTATTCAAAGTAACAGATAGGAACTAACACGGGGTGCTGGTGCAGACAGAGCTGCAGAGCGTGAGAGCAGGATGAGTCTTTCTCATGCTCAAGCAAAGGTAAGAACCCTGCTAAGCCAGCCAGTGTCAAGACCAGCTCCACATCCATGAGAACACCAGCCAGGGTTAAGAGACCCACGAGGTCAGGGTTAAGAACCCAGAGACCAGGGGCTGGGGATTTAGCTCAGCGGCATAAGCGCCTGCCTTGCAAGCAGGCAGTCGTGAGTTCGATCCCTGGTACCGATAAAAATGAAAAAGACCAAAAAAAAAAAAAAAAAAAAAAAAAAAGAACCCAGAGACCCAGAATACATTTGTTCTGGGTTCTAAACAAAGGACAGACAAAAATTGATAAGGGTTGTATGTATGTCATCCTAGCACTTGGGAGGCTGAGGCAGGAGGATTGTCCTGAGTTCAAGGCCAGCCAACTACACAATCAGACCCTGTCTCAAAACACAAAACTGATGAGCAGTTAAACTACAAACACTGGAAAACCACCTCATCTAGTTCAATTGTTGCATTCACATTAATTTACAAAACCCAGAGAACCACTGCAAAAATCAGAATAATTTTCAAAAAAAAAAAAAAAAAAAAACCCTGCAAGTTCAAATTCCATTTGACCCAGTCATTCCCCTTCTAGGTATCTTCCCAAAAGAGTTAAAGACATCTTATTATAGCGACACACGCACACCCATGTTTACAGCTTATAGTAACTAAGTCTTGGAAGCAGCCTATATATCCACAACAGGTGAGCAGATAAAAAAAAGATGGTGTTTACACACAGTGGGGTGCTGTTCTGTCAAAGAGAAGGATAAACTCGAGTCATCTGTAGTAACATGGAGGTACCTGGGGACCACAATGTTAAGTGAGGTAAATCCAACCACACGCTTAAATATTGCCTGCTTTCCCTTGTATGAGAAATCTAGACCATAAACAAAGAGCAGAATAGTGGATAATGGAAAGTCAGGAGGTATCTTTTTAAAAGGCGAAAAGCATCAAGAGATGGAAGGAAGAGGTAAAAGGGAAGGGAAGGGATGAAAAAAGGAACTAAGACCTGTTACATACAGGTAACAAATCAACACAAGGAAGGTAAACACTACATATCTTGAACATGTACCAAAAAATAAAAAAGAAGGGAATCAATGGATGGATCCCAGTAGTCAGGAGGCTCACATAGGAGGATCACTATTCAAGGCCAGCCTGGATTACACAGCAAGTTCAACTACAGAGCAAGACTCTCTCTAAAAAGAAAAAGAAAAAAAAAAAAATAGCCTAAACTACAGATTAAGACCTTGTCTCAAAAAACAAAATGAAACAAAACAAAACAGATGGATGGGGAGGATAAAAAAACAAATTAAGATGGGGTGAGTGTCCCCTACTAATAGGCTTGGAATCAGCAGTTTCAGGCTCAGATTTTATATCTGTGTTAGGGTTAAAGATCTCTAATTTGAACATTCAAATCATAACCTGAAACTTTCTGAGTACCCTAAATTTTAGGGATGCTCAATCTGTCATGGGCTCAGGACCAAAATTCAAGTGTCAGCAGACTCCTGGTATGGTCTTTATTCTACCACTCTACTTTTTCTGAATCTATTTCTTCATCATTTGTCACATCAAATCCTAAAGCCGTGTTATAGGAAACTGCTAGATAAAATAAACCCACTAAGACTTTTACTTACGCAACTTCAGGAAAAGCAGCAGCTTCTTCTTCTAACTGCAGTTCTTTAGCCAGTTGTTCACTCATTACATCAGATAAAGAGCAGGACATTGTCTTTTGAGGAGTAGCCCATGGACACTGTATATTTAAAACAGAAGAAAGGAAAAAAGGACACTCAATCCATAATGATCTATTTTTTTTTATTTAGTTTTTGGTGTTTTGAGACAGGGTTTTGCTATGTAATCCAAACTGGCTCACTACATAGCCCAGACTGGCCTTGAACTAGCAGCAAGCCTCCTGCCTCAGCTTCCCAAATGCTGGGATTATAGGTGTGCACCATCACCCTTGGCTGCAGAAATCATTTTAAAAGTAAAAATATCTCCACTCAAATGTAAACAAGGATAAAATAGAACTAAAACAGTCAGGAGTACTCTCTGGCCTGCTCAGAAGCAGCAGGCTACTACTGTAGCATCTCTTCCACCAGCCACGAAGTTCAAGGTTTTCCTGTTGTTCCAATTGCCTGCTCCCCCACACCTTCCCCGCCAGTCTGTGATGGGACTTGCAGATCTCACAGAACGCACCATAGCAGCTATTCAAAGCCCGGGATGGGGCAGGGGGTTAACACTAATTTTCATTTGTTTTGTCTCGAGACAGGGTCTCACTATGTAGACCAGGCTGGCCTTGAATTTGCTATCTTCCTGCCTCAGCCTCCCGATTACAGGTGGGCACCACCACACATGCCTGGCCCAGTTCTAACATTCTAATCTAAGCATTAAGTCTCAGCTAAGTGTAAAATCTGTGCATGTCAAACCACCCCAAAATATCCCGGTATATGCTAATACAAAACCTCAAAAATCAGATTTCTAAACTTTAGAATCTAGCGACAGAGCCCTGAAACAATAAGGTTACAGCAAAGTACTATTCGGAGACTCTTCTTCAGCAGGTGCCTCCCGCAGCAACACCACTGTCTCAACCTTCTTGACAAATCTAGATTTCACAATTGTCTCAACTAACTTCTAATTAATCTTTCTGTTCCTTTGTTGCTTATTCCTTTCTCCATACCACAACAGGATGTTTCTTCTAAAAAATGCAGATGTGATTGGTTCTGGTTCTCATTTAAATCTCTTGTGTTGCTTCCCTTTGCCTTTGGGATACAAAGTCTGAACATCTAATAGACAATGCAGCACACACCCATAGGAGCCCCGTTATTCAATCAAGGTTAGCCAGCATAGGGCCCGCAGCTGTCCTGAGGCCTGGAGAACTCTGGGGGGGCGGGGGCAGACCCCAGTGCAGGATCCATCTCCGGGTAATTCAGGAATGAATATGGCTTAGGACCGAGGGATAACCTCCCATGAAGCCTGTATTCCCGCCCGAGACAATCAGGATTGGCTCTGTCCCCTCTCTCCCTAAGACTGAGGAGATGTGTGTGGCCCTGGCACACACCTACACAGACCAATGCAGAACTCAGGAAACAGGGAGGCTGCCTGTGGGTCTGGCCTGACTCTGACACACTCGCACTCAGAGTGAACCATGCACTGAGGTCTGGAATACTGAAACACTCTGTAATCCGGAGACCACGGCCAACCTCTTAGCTATGTGACTCTGCTGACTTCCTCCTGCTCTTTAACCTAGAAATGCTTGTTCTGAACAGTCTCAAAGTCCAGGCTCCACAAGGCCGATGACGGTATTCTCCAACTCAGATTCTCATTCACGTCTGACGACAGTAATACTAACAGCAGCGTAACAGATAACATTTCCATATTTCCTGTACATAAATCACTTGGCCAGACACACGAAACTTACAGAAATCATTTAAGTGATATCACAACCAAGTAGCTGCAATAGCATCTCCACTCTCATGGTGTAGAAGCCAGACAAAGGTTTTTTTAAGCCAAGGTGAGGTTGCATGTGGAGATGCCCAGCCTTGCACCAGGGCAGGAGGATCCCATGGGCTGAATGTTCTGCAGTCTCTCACTGCTGCTTCCTTCCCCAACCACCTTTAGGGAGGTGAGCTGTGGACTGCCTGCTGCCTGTGAGAGAAAACCCAAACTCCCCAGCAAGGAATGCCCTTCACCACTGCCCTGCATTGGCCTCCCAATCCCAAACCTCCCTGTCCTGCACTCTGGTGACACGAATCATGCTCCAAGTGTGGCACATCTCACCCCTCTGAGCCCTCACATTTTATCTCTCGAGGTTTTTCCGCATTTCTATTTACACCAGTTAATGTCACCTCCTCTGGAAGGCCGTGCCCATGCCATCAGACAAAGCTGAATCCTGTGTTCCCCGCTCCTTGGGCAAACACTGTTGCTGTGGACCCTTGACCAACTAGGGGCCACGTACCCCATGACAGCGCAGGAGCCCGTGGAAGGGTGGGATTTGGACTCCCGATGCCGGGTGTAGAGCTTCTGATGAGAAGTATTCAGTGCCGGCCATGGTACCCCAGCTCAGCTGGGCCCACCTGCTGACACTACTTCCTTAGGAGAGGTCAGCAAGGGAAGGTTCTAGAACCCCATACTTATAAATGCAACCAAACGCTTCAGCCTCGCCACCAAAAGCCTCCCCAAATCTCCCAGGCTGTGAAAGTGCCAGCTTCTGGGGGCTCAGACTCCTCCTGACCTTCCTCGGGATACAACCAGCTTGGCTCACAGAGCAAGGCAGTGAAAATTTACCAGAGGCTTCTGGGAAAGGATCCAGGAGTGCGGGGCGGAGAACCTCTGTCACCAGCTTGTGCCATGATCTCCCACCCCTCCTGGCTGCAGGTTACAGAAAAACCACCTCTTTCCCTCCAGTTCCTAACAGAACCCCTAGTTGGCCCACTTTATAGAAAAGTTTTTCTGAGGACAATCATGGTGAAGCAATCAGGTAAAATCAAAAACAAACCCGAGGCGGCACATGATAACAAAAAGTCAGCTGAAGCAAATCAATAAAACCACAACCCACGAGATCTCTTTTCTAGCCGTACAGCTAGTGGATATAATCAAGGTAGAGTATCTGAGTCATTTTACAGCTGGGTGTGGTAGCACATACTTGTAATCTCAGCACTGGGGAGGCTGAGGCAGACAAATCAAGAGTTCAAGGACAGCCTGGGTACCTAGAGTTCAAAGCCACTTGAACGAGTGAGACCCTGTCTCCAAAAAAAAAAACCAAAACCAAAAACAAAACAAAAACCAGCACTTCGACATTTTGTAACTGGCACCTTGTGTTTTCAAAACCTTTCTAAGGTAGAAGTCTATATTTTTAAAGTCTAACTCAGTTTATTCTGTGTTTCTGCTGTGCCTTTACTTCCCATCTTCCATTGTATTTGCTATAATTATCTATCAGTAGATGGATCCTTTTCAATCAAAACACTACAGCTGAATGAAAAAAAGAGATCTGAAAATCCAGGTATTTTCAATAAATGAGATGTTAAAAACATCTTCAAAAAGGGGGATTTAGCTCAGTGGCATAAACACCTGCCTGGCAAATGCCAGGTCATGAGTTTGATCCCCAGCACCACCACCCCCCCAGAAAAGAGAGAGATCTGCAAAAATCAAAACAATACTATTTACTAATTTTCTTTTTTGGGGAAAGGTTTTTAATATGACTTTTAAATGACTTAACTGATTTTTAAATTTCTCAGTTTTAATTTTTGATGTGATAAAGATCAAAAGAGATTACAATACAGGGCTAGGGATTTAGCTCAGTGGCATTAAGCACCAGCTTGGTAAGTGTGAGTTCTGGGGTTTGATCCCTGATCCCCCCCCAAAAAAATATATTCATATGAGCAAAAGTTCTTTGGAATCATCAATGCTTTTGTTTGTTTCTGAAACAGAGTCTTGCTATGTAGTTTCAGACTGGCCTTGAACTCACTATGCAGTCCAAGCTGGCCTCAAACTTGTGGTGATGCTCCCGCCTCAGCCTCCCAAGTGCTAGGATCACAGATGTGCCCCACCATGCCTGGCTAAATGATTTTTCAGAATATAAAAAGATCCTAATTAAAGTTTTGAGAATCACTAGCCTTACATATTCCTTCCGTTTTTCAAGTGCCTCGAGTCTCTACCTCCCTCCATGTAAGCTTCTGGTACTCCTTTGGATTTTCTATAAAGTTTAGAGAAGAAATAATATAAGCGATACTCTTTCAAATTATTTCATCTGTGAAAACCCCATCTTCCCAACTGAGTGTCAGTAAACCCCTGACATCATCATCAAATGATGAAAGTGGAATTTCAAAGTTTTGATGTTCATTTAAATAAGAATATGACTGATCTGAAATACTTATTATTAGTCTTGTAAGCGAAATTTTTGAAGTTAGGATGTACCCAGAACAGTTTGGCTTGTTTCAATTTTTTTTAACCAAAGTTTGTGGATTTTTAACTGGAAGAATTTAATATATACATTGAGTATATTTTAATCCTCTCTGTTACAAGTTTGCCCACTGATCTTAACCATGTAAAAAAGTTTTAATAGGAAAAATACACAATGTAACATGTAGATGTAAACATATTTACCGATGGAATATCTTAGATTATTCCTAAAGATGTGTTAAAACCAGCATCCCCTAATAGCTACTTACCCCTTTTCTGGTAAGATCAAGACTGAAGTACTCACAATACAAACAGGTGAACTTTTAAGCGAAACAAGTGTCTCATGTTAGCATGCAAAAGACAATTATGAAGATTAAAAATAAAGCTGGCTTCCTTCACAATCTTAGTTTAAAGAACACAAAACCCCACGGAAGCACTTTTGCTCTGAATTGAGCCTTCGATATAGAGGCAGAAGTCTTTGCAACTTTCTAATGCTAATAATATGAAAAGGAGGAACCTAAAAACGGAAAACTAAATCTGAGGTTACAGGGGTTGTGTTTGCCGTTCTGGGAAAAAGTTTAAACGTTAAAGCCCAGGCAGATCAGCACATAGTGTATTGTTCAGTATTTGCGATGCAAGAGGGAGGGTGCGCCTAGATTTTATCTTTACCACTTCAAAAACAAGAAATTACCAAATGGAGATAACCATACTTGTCAAATTAAGGAAACAGCTTCCTAAGTCAACTTTCTGTCTAGCTTTCAAAGTGTTGAGCTGATTTAGCCTGTGAAAAACAAGATCGTGCTTGTTTCCCTCCAATGCCAGCTGAAAAGAGAGTTCTGCTCAATATACGCTACCGAGATTCAGAAAGAAAAGTGAAGATGTAAAGTCAGACCCCAGCCCATCCAGCACAGCCTCTGGGAGCCCCGCAGCTTCTTCCCAAAACCCTACCCCAAGTCCCTGGGTCGGGGTCGTCGGGGTGCCGCCGCTAGAATTTCCCGGACCCCCTCTCCCAGTGTTCCGGGAAAACGAGCCTTGGTGACCGAGGCAGGTACGCCTGCCCCGACCACCACATACCTTGCTGGGTTGCCAGGCCGCTGTGGGCCTAGGGTCAGGGGATGCTACTCCCACCAGATCCATTGGGGGAAGAAGGCGGAGACAAGAACAGAGCAGCTAGGTGGCAGGACGGGAAGCAGATCCCGCCGAGACGGGAAGAATAGCAGCGACCGGCGGTAGGAGCCGGAATTAAGGTGACAGATGGCGGCGGTAGCCGCCGCGTCCGGAACTAGACCTCGTCTCTTCCGCCCTCACCGCAGGGGCACTAGCTTCTGATTGGCCAGGTGATCCTGACTCCGCCTTAAAGCATCTTGCTCCGCCTCCAGGCGGACTGCGCTTCCGGTCGCTGTCCACTGGGCGGGGGTCGCAGGGCTAGACGGGCGGAGCCTGTGGTCTCGCTGTTGGGGTTGGGGTGGGGGTGTCGTCCCCCTCTCCCCGCGCCGCCTTCCCTTTTCTGCTTCCAAGACAGCTGCTGGATCTAATTAAATACATCGGACTGTGTGGACTATAAACAAACCAGAATCTCCTTGTTCATTCATTGTGTCCCGGCGTAATTCTTAAACTGGGATGGTTTGAGAGACACAATGTAGTGGAGGTGAGGCAAGCGCGGAGGACTGAAGAAGACAGTGGGAGTTGTCATGGTAACAGCTGTATTTCTGAGGCCAGGGTGTGGATCAGAGAAACCTGCAAAATGTGTTAAAGACATGGAGCAAAAATACGACTGCATGATAAAAAGTTGGATTCCATATTTTGCAGTGAAACTCATAAATTGATTAGATTGAAATAACTAAACATATCCATCCAATATTCATTCAAATGCTGGCCTTACCTCAATCTTGCTGACAGCCAGAAAATAGCAAAGCTAACCAGTGGTGCCCAGGCAGTGTGTATATGACCACCAGACTTTTCAGAAATATGTACTGAATAGCAGAGCTTCCCCTAGATCTCATGTCTGAGTCAGGTCCCTGACTCTTCATACTTGAGAGCCTTAGCATGGAAACCTCGAAGACTTCCCTATCACAGTTCTTGCCGCCTTCTCATTCCAGGTCAGAACAAGTTCTGAATCTTACAAAGTCTCCTAACTAAAATATTGGAAACTGTGGCCTTATAAGTGGATTCAGACCTATGCTCACCAAATGCTGCCCGTATGTGTGAACGCATATGGAAATGGTGTCCCCCCCACTTCCTGTTCACAAAGTTATAATTGTAGCATAAATAGTCAAAGAAGAATGCGTGTAACCAGGAATGAAATGGCCCTCTCAATTCTGGGTAAGAAACAGGAGAGGAAAATTATTGGAGACTTCTTTTAATTGATCAAGAATGTCTGAAGAAAAGTTTAAAAGGAAAAAAAAAAATCCCCAAAGAAAGTATGACCATAATGTGCTGGCGGGGATCATGTCGGGAACATTTCAGAAAAGGATAGGAGCTTGGCACAGTGGCGCACACCTGTAATCCCAGCACTCAGGAGGCTGAGGCAGGAGAATTGCTATGAGTTCAAGAGCAGCTGGGCTTCAAGGTGAGCTGAAGGCCAGCCTGAACTTCATAGGGAGACCCTGTCTCAAGAAGACCAAAAAATAAAAATAAGTAAAGAAAAGAGAAGGACTAATAATTTACTCACTTTAGATTTTCTACTTAATAAAGTCCATCGAGTTATTACTTATGTTCCCTAACAATGGGGTGATAACTATGAATAAAAACAGGTTCCTGCCTTTGGGTATCTCGAGGTCCTGACCACAAGCACGTTTAAATGTCTGTAGTTGCATAGTAGAAGTGAGTGCAGGGCCTGTTGCAGATGTGGAGAAGGCAAGCCAGATGTGGCCAGACTTTCCAGGCTTTGCTGCTGACAGGTGTCAGTGGGGTAGGTAGTAGATGCTGCAAGGGACACTGTATCAGACCACAGCAGAAAAGAGTGACTGGCCTGGCATGGCTGGAGCTAGGGAACAGCAGGGACAAAGGAAAAGACCGATTTAGCCAATGTGGGGAAGGGCTAAGGCCAAGAGGTTTAAATGCAAAGGGCTGCAGAGCTAAGAGAACCGTCAGTAAGAGGGAAGAATAATGTTTTCAGATTTGCTTACTGAAAAGGTATTTCTGACAGTTATGTGAACGATGGATTGGAGCAGGTGAGACTATAGACTGAAAATCCTGACTGATGAGAGTTGTCTGCGCATTCCTTAAATATACTTGTACCTTCTAATTTCAAGTCTCAGAATCTTTTAAAAATTTCTTTTAAGTGACTTTGAATAATCCAACTCTGATCTTATTTTGGGTTGGTTTGGAGTTGAGATGCTGGTGTTGATAGTGTGTTGTTGTTTAAATCTGTAATTTCAGTACTGGGAAGGCTGAGGCAGGAAGATCACCATAGTAGCACCTAGGCCCATGTGATCTCATAGTGAATCTGTACATGGGGCCAGGCCTTTCTGCTGTCAAGTGGAGTGAATACAAATGTTTAGAATGAGTTTGGCTCCAGCCTTTTCTTTCCGCCATTTCTGCTGATAAACTCACTAGAGCTCAGCAGAAACAAAACTGTTGGAGAATTTGCACTGCGGGAACACATGGGACCAGGAGCTTCTCTGATCTCTAAAGAGAACAAAACTAAGGCTTTTTAGTTCTTATTATTGAAATTAGTTACATCTATTTTGCTAGCAGCAGCTTTAGGTGTTTAAATATTAATTAGCTGCCTAGGATAAACCTAACGTTTTGTGGGAAAAACAAAGAACTAAGAGGTTAGAGTTGAAAAGACAACATATACACACCACATGAAATGACGGACACTTCTGTCTTGAAAGGGTGTGTGACTTACTTCCAAATGACAGTGAGAGACAATGCACCTTGTGGGATTCATTGCGGGTGTCAATTTCTAGAAAGGTTGCATGGCAAGTGTGCCACCCCGCCAGGCCATGGAGATTGGATGGATGTGATAAAACTAGTTTAAGTGGAAATGGTCATTCTTGTCATTTTTAAAAGGGAAAGTTAAGTAGCTTTTAAAAGTATGTGAATTCCTCAAAAAATTAAAAGATAGAAATTCTGTGTGGCTCAGCTATTCCCCTTCCAAATATCTTCTCAAAAGAGTTAAAAACATCGTAACCCAGGGATGTATGCATATCTGTGTTTATAGCAATGCAGTTCATAATAATCTGAATCTTGGAAGCAGCCTGTGTGCCCATCAACAGATGAATTGATAGAGAAAATGTGATATTTTTGCACAATGGAGTACTACTCTGCCACAAAGAAGGATAAACGTGCATCATTTCTAGGAAAACAGATGCACCTTGTGATCATAATATTAAGTGAAATAAATCTGACACATAAGGTTAAATATTGCATTGTTTATCTTACATGAAAAACTAAGTATATATATGGAGAGAGAGAGGGGAGAGAGAGAGAGAGAGAGAGAGAGAGAGAGAGAGAGATAGCACAAAATATAAAACAAATAATAAAAAAGGGAAAGAAGAAAATAAGTTGTTGTAATCTAGCATGAAAAATGTATCTAAAAGTGTACTTTGACTTAATGCAATCCTCTTATAAGTTTTATGTGTTCTTCTGCCTATTGGTTTATTTTTCAATTTCTATGTATGATAATTATATAAGATCTTATAAGATAAATGAATCTGATGCTGAAAAATAAAAGAGGGTAGAAAGGTGAAATAAAAGAATTAATATTTGTTATGCACATGTCCCAATTTCCTATAATAAAAACATAAAAAGTATGCGGTTGTTTCTCTGTTTCTTTTCTTTTTTTCCTTTTTTTTTTGAGTCAGGGCCTTGCTGTGCAGTGCAGGCTGGCCTTGAGCTCCCTTTGTAGCCCAAGATGGCCTCAAACTCAACGTGATCTTCCTGCCTCAGCCTCCCAAGGGCTGAAAATACAGGCATGTGCCACCATGCCCATTTATGCTGTTGTTTCTATCTTTGAGGAATGTCCATGTGTACTGCCACAAAATTTATTACTAAGATATATTTGAGGGTAAACTTCACAAGGCGTTGTTTTCTCTAACTCATCTCTCTTTAAAATTCAAAGAACAGGGTGCGGTGGCACATTCCCCAACGCCAACACTCAGGATACTGCAAGTTTGAGGCCAGCCTGTGCCACACAGTGGATATGAGGTCAGCTACACTACTTAGCGAGATCCTGTGTCATTAAAAAAAATCAACAAATATTTATTGAGCACAGAGTATCAAGAAATAAATTAATAATACTAACTGTGGTATCAAAGATCTCAAAAATGCAAGCAATTAATTCTTTTCATGTGTGTAGAAGATGGACTTATCTCAATTTCATGTCTAACAGCCTATTGTTTTACAATAAAACCAACCCTGTTGATTTTGTTTTTATGTAGTTTTAGTTTATTCAGTTTTGTGGAACAGGTAGTAAGAACAGCTATAGAAAAACCAACAACTGCCAAGTGCAGTGGTTCATGCCTGTAATCCCAGCACTTGGGAGTCTGAGGCAGGAGGATTGCTGTGAGTTTGAGGCCAGCCTGGGCTACACAGTGAATTCAAGGGCAGCCTGGACTACACAGTGAGGCCCAGTCTCACAAAACAAACAAAATCCCCAGCAACTCTGGAAAGATCTATCCAACATCTTTGCTGACAAAGTCCACTTCTATTTGCATGATTCTCTACTCTCCTGGTTGTTCCTGCTCACCAAGCAAATCATATTAAAGAAAATCAGTTAAGCAGTAATTAGGAAATAATAAGGCTTGAGTCTAATGTGTTTATCCCTTTAAGGATCTCAGGAAAACACCAACCAGGGGTTTAGCCAATTCTATTAGAAAAGAATTTTCTTTGTAAGAACTATTTAGGTTTGAAATAAGTTTCTTACAATAACTTCAAGGGAAATATCCTTTAGTTTATCCTTTCATATACAAACTGTAAATCTAGTATTTGCCTGGATAATATAGTTTGTAAGCAGTTTTACTTAGGAATCATAATTAACTGGTCCGCTTTTTAAAAATATTTTATTAGCCCGTGTTTGCAGTATGTGAGGATCACAATCCTCAAGAATGTGCATAACACAGTTATTTTTAATCCCCTTTCACTTCTGCTTCCCCTCTCCCTTCCCTCCCACCTCATTTCTTAGTCCCTTTTCATTTTGCAAAAAATTTATCTCTCTTTCCTATTATCTACCTCTTATTTTGCTTTTCAATTTACTTGAACTTTGGATTTCTCATATAAGAGAAACTGTGATATTTACACTTGGGTCTGTTTTATCTCACTTAACATTATGGTCTTAAGATGCATCCATTTTCCTACAAATGGCTCAAATTTATCCTTCTTTATGGCAAATGAGTACCCCATTGTATATGAATACCATGTTTCCTTATTCTTTTATGTGTGGATGCACAACGGGGCACTTTCAAGATTTAGTTATTATGAGTTGTGCTGCTATAAATGCACATACGCATGAATCACTGGGATATGATGACTTTAAATCTTTGAGGAGGACACCTAGGAGAGGAGTAGCTGAGTAGAATGGAATTGGTATCTTTGGTTTTTTGAGGAATTTCTGTACTGACTTCCACGGTGATCCCGCGCGTTCAGTCTCACATAGCTCTCTGTTCGCTGGCTATTGTAGTACTTGGGTTTCTTTAGAGGAGCAGAAGCAATAGAAATACATGCATGATTGTGCAAGGGGATCTGTTAGGCTTAGAGGATCAGAGCTGGGAGAGTGCACAGCGGCCACCTGAGGACCAGAGGCAGGGGAACAGGCAGTGGCTGGGAGTGCACTGTGGAGCTGGCGGGGCCAGTAGCTGCTCAGTCCAGCATTGCAGACAGCAGAGAACCAGAGGGCTCAAGGATCCAGCACCAGGACTTAAAGGCTTAACTGCTCCCTGGAGTCGCCGGTGCGAGGTAGTAATGGGAAGGTGAAGAGGTGGAAACTCGAGATAGATGTCCAAAGGCGATGGCAGCAGAGAGTCTGACTCAAAGGCAGCAGGAGGGTATTGTTTGTTGACTTGGGGAGGAGAAATTGCTCTTCATTCAAGGTTAGTTAGATCCATTTTATAAGACACTTTTTTTTTTTTGTCTTTTTGAGACAAGATTTCACTATGCAGCTCAAGCTGGCTTTGAACTCACTTTGTTGCCCAGACTGGACTTGAACTCACAGCAATCCTTTTGTCTCAGCTACTTGAGTGCCGGGACTACAGGCATCTGTTGCTATGCATAGCTGGCAACCACTTATTATGCCGGTTTTTTGAGACTGTCTCATTATGTAGTTCAGGCTGGCCCTGAACTCACCATATATCCCAGGCTGGCCTTAGATTCCCAGCAATCTTCCTGCCTCAGCCTCCTGAATGCTAGGATGACAGATGTGTAGCACCACACCAGGTGTGAGGAGTTATATAACAGGCATCTGCTGATCTATGAATAGACAGGATACCTTGGTTACTCAAGAGTATACTGGTTGGGTAGGTTTGGTATGGATTGGAAGGACATAGGGTGATTGATTTTTTGCTTTATTTATCTCTTTTCTACTGGTCTTTTTTTTATAATAATCTTGTTTTTTTTTTTTTTTTTTTTTTTTTTGTCTTTTTCCTTTTTATTGGTACCAGGGATTACACTCACGACTGCCTGCTTGCAAGGCAGGTGCTTATGACGCTGAGCTAAATCCCCAGCCCCTTGTTTTGTTTTTGAGATAGGGTTTTTTCTATGTAGCCAAAGCTAGCTTCCAACCCTAGACCCTCCTGCCTCTATCTTCTGAGTAACTGGGAGGACAGGCATGTATTAATAACAAAATTGTTTACTGTCATTGAAGGTTAATTTTTAAAAATTTTATTTTTGTTAATACATGTTCGCAGTTCATAGTGACCACATTCATTGCCGGCAGCTGGCACATAGTGCATCTTAGCTCTCTTTATGTTCCCTTCACCTCCCTTGAAAGGGGGAAGGACAGCGTTTCCAGAGAGAAAACAAACCCGAGGGTCAAACTCATGGTGGGAAGTGAGTATACTCTTGGGAAGTGTGAGCTTCTTGTATCTCATTTCTATGGCGAGGAAAATTGAGTACATTCAGAGCTTTATTAGCTCTCTTGCTACTGCATACTGCCCCCTTTTAATAACCCAGCCTGGGTTAAAAATGTGCAACTGTGTGGTTAGCACAATTGGACCAGGACGTGGCCAGGTGGTTAGCAGGAGAGGGCCAGCACTCTACAGTGACCAGGTCTACCTTCATCTGCACGTCCTTTCCCTCCACCAACCTGGAGCACCACAGAGATGGGGGAGGGACTTCCGAGGACAAGCCAAGGTCAGCCAAGGTCAAGCCCAGGGACAAGCCAAGGTCAACTCTGCCTGCAGGCGGGAAGGAGCAGAGAAGCAGGACCAGGTGCAGGACAGCAGCAAGACTGCCAGGTGTGGTGGAGCAGGGCCACCAGACCTGGCAGTGAGCCTGGCTTCCTAGGAAGGAACCTGGCAGATGGGGCATTTCCAGAACTCCGCCTGTTTCCACCTCTGCAGAAACCTTGTGTTTCATCTAATTACTCCACCAATATGTTCTCAGATCTTTGCTACTATTCACCAGAGGCCTGATTAAATTATACTGCCCCCTAGCAATAGGGGCTGTGATTGAAAATACGTTGGGAAAGAGTACTTTTTCCCTGGTGAACTAGGGGAATGAAATTCCCAACCTACTAGATGTTCCATGTGAGTTCGTGTTCTCTAAAATCAAAGAATGAATTTTAGGAACACTGGAGGTTAAGAGCAGAATATATTTATTGAGAGAAAGAAAGCTTCTATCTGGGAAAGAGACAGAAGGGGTCCAAAGTGGGTTGCCAAAGACTGTTTTTTCTAGAGAATTTTATAGAGCAAAAACCACGAGGTGAGATGGGTGTAAGATGGGGAAAATAAGGGAACTAGCAATGCAGGTAGGCATGAGGTGGGACAGAGCTCTGGTCAACCAATAAGATTAATTGGTCAGGTAAAATTGACCAAATTAGGGACAGGTGGGGAAGCAAGTCACACAGCAAGTAGGCAAGTTTAAAGAGCAGTGACTCTTTCTGTAGAGGGTTGGGTTGGTGACTCCTGGCTTCCTCAAGGTGATCCATATTTATTTAGAATATCAATCCTTGATGTTTATACTTTGAATGTGGTTACATTTGTTTTGCCTTTTGTGTTGAGGTCTGGCCCACAGCAGATGTGTCTGTCTGCAAAGTTGCAAAGCATCTGGTTTTCTGAACTGGCCCTTTGGAAGGCCCAGCCCTGTGTGACTGCCTATCATATTTCTAACTAAATCAGCTGCCTGGCTGGTCCGATGGCAGTGGGTTATCAGAACTTATTAACATTAGTGTCACTAAAGTTGGTATACCACCCCCCCCACTGCTAAATTTGACTGGCTTATAAAAAAAAAATAAAAAAATAAAAAAAAGAATAAAAAAAAGTAAATCAGCTGCCTGTAACACTAGGAATTTCCACACAGTGGAATGACTTCTCATAAAACATAAAGAAAGCAGAGCGTGATGGCCCCAAATCCCAGCACTCAGAGGCTGAGGCAGGAAGATTGCAAGTTGAACACAGCCTGGGCGACTTAGCGAGACCCTGTCTCAAAACAAAAAAAAATAAAAAAGGGTTGGGGATGTAGCTTAGTTTTAATGCCCTGGATCTAAGCGGCAGTTCTGCAAGAAAAACAAAACAGTAATACCAATGGTCATTCTAGTGCCTCCCCCTAATAGCCTTCCTTCCTCTAAAATCATATTTCTTGTGATTATTTTGTGTCAATTGCCAAGAATAAAACGGACACAATGTAAAAAATTAGGAAAACTCAGTAAGCATAGAGCCATTAGTCCCATTGTCCAGCAACAGCTATGAATACCTTTCTTTTTTTCCCAAATCAATTTCATTTCAAGAACATAAAAAAAAGAAAAAAGGACTGGGGATTTAGCGCAGCTGCATAAGTCCCTGCCTTGCAAGCACATGGTCATGAGTTCAATCCCCAGTACTGAACAAAAAAAAGAAAAAAAAACTATAACAAAGTTTCAAAACACGTTTGAATACTCTTCTTTATACAGTAATCGAGGTGTTCCAGTCATTTTCTGGACTGCTTGCTTTTCCTTCTTACCCACAAAGGACTATCGGGTTCAGAGTCAGGGAGGACCCAGATTTGAGGTCGACGCCCCGCCCACCGCCCTGCCCGGCTTCCACACAGTGGCTCCTTTAAGGAGGCGGGGCCGGAAGGAGCTCGCGCTGATTGGCGGGGCTCTGAGCCACGTGGCTTGCGGGGCGGGGCCGGCGGCGGCGTGCGGTGGCTGACTGGCTGGCTCCGGGAAGGGGCGCGCGGGCACGGATGGTCGCTCCACGGTCCCTGGTCAGCCTCGCCTTCTGTGCCTGCTACCTCGCTTCCTACCTCACGAACAAGGTTAGGGGGGGCCCGGGAGGCGGCACGGGCGTGTGGGCCTGCGGTGGGCGCGGGGCCTGTCAGGTCGTGCTCCAGAGCCCTTCCAGGAGCTGGCGTCTGACCCGCCTTAGGGAACTTAATGTGGGGCTGCGAGATCTTACTTTTAGGGGGCTCCTGTTCCCCGTGGGAAGAGTCGAGTGGAAATCAGGCTTGTCCTGCTTTCCCCCTTCAACTCTCAAAGATGCCAAACTCTCAGAATTCCCAAAAGGTTCCAGAAGTCGCCATCACGAGCTGTCCAGTATGCTCAAGGGCTTTTCATGGGATTTAAAAAAACAATGCAACGTGTACTTGTTTATCGTATTGTATTTTTTGTCTTTTTCTTTTATCGATACCAGGGATCGAACTCGCGACTGCCTGCTCGCAAGGCAGGCGCTTATGTCGCTGAGCTAAATCCCCAGCCCCTATCGTGTTGTATTTTTGAGACAGGGTCTTGCCATGCAGTAGTCAGCTGGGCCTTAAATTCACTGTGTATCCCCGGCTGGACTCAAAACTTGCAGCGATCCTCCGGCCTCAGCCTCCAGAGCACTGTTGTGGCCACTGTTTTATTATCTCAGCCTGAACTGCCTTCCAGCAGTCGAGGTCTTTTAGGTTGGCTTGGACCAAGTGCAGTCCCCCACCCCACAGCCACGACTGTAGCTTCTGTTACCCACTCACAGTTAACCGGGGTCCAAAAATATCAATTGCAAAACTTCAGAAATAAAGCCCAGTGTGTAAATTTTAGCTTTTAATGAGAACGTTGTCATACTATTATATTGTTAGTTATCGTTTGTCTCCTGCTGTTTCTAACCCTTAAACCTCATAGATACACATGTACAGACGACATAGTGTACACAGGGCTCTATACCGTGGATAACTTTGCGAATCCTCTGGGAGAAAAGGGACCCTGATAATGGCCGAATGAGGTAGGGGCTGGCCAGTGGACACCCCATGAGCATGCTCTCCTGCATTTAGCCTCTCTGCCAAATTATTATTAATTTTTTCCAATACTGGGGATTGAGCTCAGAGCCTTCACACTGACCTTCTGTCCTCAGCCTTTCGATTTGTTTCATTTTTTTATTTTTAAAATTTTGAGGCAGCATCTTGCTAAATTGCTTGGTTGCCCAGACTGGGCTCAAATTTGGCAATTCTCAACCTCTCAGAGGGCTATGATCACAGGTGTGATCCGCCACACCCAGCTTCTGCCACATCAATTTATTGCTGGAGTAGTGAAGATTGTTTTTGTATCTGTAGTAGAGGGTGTTCTTCTCTTCTAGTTTTTCCAAGATTTAGTGTTAGAGTACTAGCTTCTTTATTTCTGTATTTCTCAGTGTAGTTTTCTCCTGTAATTATTCCTTCTTAGTTTTTATTTATTTTTGAGAATAGGGTCTTGCTGTACAGTTTAGGCTGGCCTTGCACTCACCATGTAGCCCAAGCTGACCTGGCACTTGTGATTCTCTTGCCTCAGCCTCCTGAGTACTGAGATTACACGTGTGTGCATCATGTCTGGCTCCTTTATTTTTAGAAGGAAGAGTCTTTAAAGACACTTTTGTCTCATGTGTCTGAGAAAACCCCTTCTACCATGCAAAGAAGGGTTGACTTCCATTTGAGATTTGGAGTAGCAGGTGTGCTGGAGAAGGAGGTCACTGGGTCAGGCAGGACAAGCTACTGTGCCCCTGAGTTCTGGCTTGGTGGCCTGGTGAGCCTGTGACATGTGCCAATAGAGGGTAACCTGGGCCCAGGCAGACACCTGTGCTTCCTGGCAGTTATTGAGCCTCTGGTTTGCTGGCAGAGTCCACTTCTGGTCCTTAGAGCTCCCGAATTGCTCTTTCTCAGTAGCTTGAGGAATTCATGAAAGGAGACCTTTTACTATTTATGTATTTAGTGAGACAGGGTCTTGCTGTATACCACAGGCCTGGCCCAGAACTCACGGCAGTCCTCCTGCCTCAGCCTCCTGAGAGCTGGGGTTACTGGGATGCACCACCTCATTCCACCCAGGAGACGCTTTTCAAACTAAGTCTCCATTTATCATAGATTTCTTCTCTCACTGTTCATTAGAGAGGTGGGCCAGAGTTTCAGCATTTTGTTTTGTTTTGTGGTACTGGGGATTGAACTCAGGGCTGTGCCTGTGCTGGGTGGGTGCTCTGCCCTGAGCTGCAACTCAGGCTGCAAGTAGCAGCGAGTGTGGCCTGCGGCCCAGGCCGAAGCCAAGCAGTAGTCAGTAAACTGACCTCACAGGGTTGCTAAGGCTGCACAGGAAATGACCAAGGTCCTCTTAATCCCTTTTCTTCTTCCACTCTGCAATAAAACTAGCAAGGAAGAGTAGGAGCAGCATATTGAAATATGCAAGTAAGTAAATTTGGGGGAAGAATTTCTTTCTTTTTTTTTGGTCTTTTTTGAGGCAGTTTCACGATATGGTTTAGGCCAGCCTTGAACTCACTTTGTAGCCCAGGCTGGTCTTGAACTCTAAGTAATCCCCTTGCCTTAGTCTGCCAAATGCTGGGATTACAGATGTGTGTGCCATCACACCTAGCTCAGAATTTAATAGATATTAAGTATGTAATATAAATACCTTGCCCATGACCTTTCACTCCTCCCTTTTTTAAAGATCTTGTGAAGAATTAATGGAGTTCTTTCTCAAAGCCAAAAAGATGTTTTTTTTTTAAAGAGGGTAACATTGTGTATTTTTTTTTTGTTTGTTTGTCTTTTTCCTTTTTATTGGTACCAGGGATCAAACTCACGACTGCCTGCTTGCAAGGCAGGTGATTATGCCGCTGAGCTAAATCCACAGCCCCCAACATTGTGTATTTTTATCTTTAAATTCGTTTCTCAGAGTACAAGATACCTGCATTTACTTGTCCTAACAATATTAGCACAAACCTTTCTTTGCAGTGAACTAAGAGAAATTAGTAATATATTTGTCTTGACTATTGTATATATGTAAAATATCTATGTATACATATATTATTCAGCTTCTTACACAAGGGAGATGATACAATGTTTACCCGTCTGATTTATTTCACTTATGAGTATAGCCTTGAGTTGTATCCATTTTCATATAAAAATCTCAAGTTTATCGTTCTTTATGGCTATGTATAAAATTGTATAAAAGTACCACATCTTTTTTTAATCCATTCTTCATTGATGGGCATTTAGGTTGCTTCTAAGATCTAGCTATTACAAACTGTGCTGCTGTAAACATGGGTGTGCATGTGTCACTGTGGGATGAAGTTTTTAATTCTTCTGAGAAGATACGCAGAAGCGGAATAGTTGGGTCACATGGGACCTCCAATCCTAGTTTTTCAAGGAATCCCCACACTGATTTCCACAGTGGCTGCGCTCGTCTGCACTCTCACCAACAGTGGAGAAGGGTTCCTTAATCCCCACAGCCCCTCCAGCATTTGTTACTGGTAGATTTCTTGGTGATATAGTATAGCCATTCTTTCTGGGGTGAGGTGGAATCTCAGTGTTGTTTCAATTTGCATCTCTCAAATGACCAGTGATGTTGAACAGTTTTTCATTTACTATTTGCCATTAGTATTTCTTCATCTGAAATGTGTGTATTCATCTCGGATGCCCATCTTTGGACTGGGTCTTCAAATTTAGGAGGTCTGATTTTTTTTGAATTCTTTATATGTTCTCAATAGTAGTCCTTTGTCTGAGGAAGAGCTGGCAAATATTTTCTCCCACAATGTGGGTTGTCTCTTCATTCTGTTGGTGGTTTGCTTTCTGTGCTCTTTCTTTTTTTTTTTTTTTTGAGACAGGGTCTTTTTAATAAGATGAGATCCCAGTTGTTGATTCTTTGTGATAGTTCCTTTATGATCAGGTTTTTTTTCCTAAAGTCTTTGCTTACACTGATGTCTTCAAGAGTTTTACCCATTCTTTTTTTCTCAGCAGATTTAATGTTTCTGTTTTATATCTTTGATCTATTCTGAATTTAGTTTAGTGCATGGTGAAAGATATGGGTCCAGCTTTAGTCTTCAGCATGTGCAGAGCCAATCTTTCCAGCACCATTTATTTATTTATTTATTTATTTATTTATTGTCTTTTTCCTTTTTATTGGTACCGGGGATCGAACTCACAACTGCCTGCTTACAAGGCAGGCGCTAATGTCGCTGAGCTAAATCCCCAGCCCCTATCTAGCACCATTTATTAAAGATGCTTTTTTCCACTGACAGTATTTGGTGCCTTTGTCAAAGATAAGGTGTCTTAGTGTGTCTGGAGTTGTTTCTGCATTTTCTAATCTGTCCCACTGATCTTTGCTCATAATGGTCTTATTTAGGAAATTCTTAAGCCAGAACTTGGGAAGCTGAGGCAGAAGCTCACAAGGGTGAGGCCAACCTGGGCTACATAGTGAGTTCAAGGCCAGCCTGAACTACATATGTATTTCAAAAAACCAAGAAAAGACAAAATAAAAAGAAAAATTTGCCCAGAAGTACAAAAGACAGTATCATTCATAAAGTGTTGGACTTTTGGTTAAAAGACATAATAGAAATATAAATTAACCTTGGCAGAACTGGGTTCATTTAAAAAAAAAAAAGTATTCTTTTTAGTATGTCTTGAAAGGCCATTTGTTTGTTTGCCCAGTATATGATTTTGGAGGAATAAAGGAATTTTTAAAACTTGGATGTGTTTATATTGTTCAGTAGGAATTTCTTTGATTGTATGCTCTGTCAATTAATTCTCTATAATTTGCAATGTCCACTAACCTGGTATTGTTTTTCAGTATGTCCTGTCTGTCCTGAAATTCACCTACCCTACATTATTCCAAGGGTGAGTAAGTTTTCTGCTTTTTGTATACATTTGTAGGAAACGTTCAACCAACATTATTGAATATTTTTTTAAATAATTTTAATCACTGCGTGGGTTTATTATCAAGCAGACATTCTGTAATTGATTTAGCCATCCTATTAGAAGGAATTTAAATTGGGTCCCACTTTTGAGGCATAAAAACAACATTAGCCAGGCATGGTGGCTCACGCCTGTAATCCCAGCACTCAGGAGGCTGAGACAGGAGAATGGTTGTGAGTTGGAGACCAGCCTAGGCTACGAAGTGAGCTCAAAGGCCAGCCTGAACTGCATAGCAAGACCCTGTCTTAAAAAGACAACCTCTCCTCTGTGAAAAAAAAAAAACCCAAATAACAATATTATCAGATATTTTTATACTTAAATCTTCCAGTTTTCCCACTATTTCCAGAGGATGCAGTTTTACTGAAGAAATTTTGGTAAGGGGACATGAACTTTAATATTCTTGAATACCAATAAATTGTTTTCCAAAGTATTTTACTAGTTTTCCCTGCCACCTGGCTGGATGTGAACGTTTCTGTAATACTGTATTCAAACCGTGACTGTTATTTTTTTTTCTTTCTACCGACTTTAAGAGCAAACAATGACACGTGATTTTTGTTTTACAATTTCTCGAATGATTCACAAAATATTCCTGTGCCACTCTATTCTCAGTGGATTGTCTTTTAATGCCTTTTACCCATTTATTTTCACTGAGGTTTTTGTATTTTTCTTATTGATGTAATATATTCTCTATTTTAATAAAGTTATCACTTGTCCATCATATTTGCTGCGATTTTTTTTTTTCCTGAGGCAGGGTCTTGCAATGTGATTCACCTTGGCCTCGAACTCACTGTGGAGCCCAGGCTGGCGGTCTCAAGGTGATTCCTCCTGCCTCCCAGGGGCTGAGATCATAGGTGTACACCACTATGCCTGGCTGTTGGAAATGTTTTTTTGCAGTTTGCTCTTTGCCTCTTAGTTTATTTGTAATTATTTTGATAATGTCTTGGCGCACATATTGTTTCTCTTCTTTACCACTTGGCAGACAGCTCTGGGCTCTTTGTTCCCCATCACAGTGTGATGAGGCCATTCATCAGTGTTTCATTAAAGCTTTGTTCAGTTTTAATCACTGTCAGTTTTTTCTAGGTGATGGCACAGGCTGAGGGAATCCTCCCTCCCTGAGTTAACCAGTTTATATGAGTTCCACTTGTCATGGGTCCCTCCTTTTGTCTTTGGGTTCTTAATATCATAGACAGTCATTTTTCTAGGGTCTCTTTGTTGATCCTTATTTGTCAACTTTTATGTTAAGGGGATTGTTTTAATTATTATGCCATTTAAGTATGTGGTAGAACAAGCCATTCTCATTTTTCTCCCTTTTTTTTCCTAAGTAGTGTTTTAGCTTTTTTCCCCTAAGGTACGAGGGGTTGAATTTAGGAAGCTCTGAGCTCCAACTCCATCCCTTTTAATTTTTACTTTTGAGGCAGAATTCTACAGGCTGGTATCAGATTTGTGATTCTCCTGCCTCAGCTGCCTGTGTATACTGGATAATAGTCGTGCACTGCCACATCTGGCTTCCTTCTTTTGCCACTGCGACAGACTTTTGAGGGGAGGGGTTATAGCCTGTGCTGCCCCTGAACCTGCTGCGAGGGCAGGTTCTTGGCACTGGCCTGTTGTGAGGCCCTGGCAAGGGTAGTGCTTCTTGACACTGGCCCGTTGCGGCAGCTCTGGAAGGATCCACAGTTCAGTCTGCAGTGAGAACAGCCCCTTGGACTGTGAGGGTGAGATTGGATGACGTTGAGAGTTAAGCTAGCAGATGACGATGATGGGCCACAGCCCTGGGCATCCCATGTTAGGGTTGATGCTGTGGTGGGTGTGCCAGGTGAGAGCCCTAACGGAAGTGGGCAAGTACTGGGGATCTGTAGGTATGAGTGCTTTTATGGAGATAAAAGCACCAGAATCCGGCCAGGTAGATAAGGGTAGAGGTAGCATGGGGGTGACCCCTGGGTTGGCTGATTAGGCACAGTAGAAAGGGGATGAGGTTGGGGGATCCCCTCAAGGGTACACCTTCAGTATGGTATTGGGAGCTCATAGGACTTCCATGTGGAAGAATCTGGTGAGAACAGGAATTTATTTGAGGTTTTTGTTTGTTTTCAAGGTAGGCTCTTGCTGTGTACCAGGCTGGCTTAAGACTTGGTGGCAGTCCTGCCTCAGCCTCCTGAGTGCTGGAATTACAAGTGTTTGCCACCATACCTGGCTGGAAAAAACAAGGGTTCGGAAGTCAGCAGTGCAGGGGCAGTGGCTGTACGTGAGGTTGTTCAGGAGAAGAAGAGAAGAAAATATGGAAACCAGTGATACTCCAACTGCTGGGCTTGAAGGTGCAATGCAGACACAGAAGGAGAAGTCCGAGAAACAGGAGCATGTGTGGGAGAGAGGAAACAAAGGGAGTAAGAAGCGAGGATCACCTCAGGTGTCATGTCTCCCACCTGTCATCACAGCACTTAAGAGGCTGAGGCAGGAGGGTCAGCATGAGTTTAAGGCCAGCCTGGGCCTCACAGAGAAAGATGTGGTCTCAGCAACACACAAAAGAAAAATAATTTTTTATTTTCTATTTTATTTATTTATCTTTTTCTCTTTTTGAGTCAGGGTCTCCCTATACCGTTCAGGCTAGCCTTGAGCTCACTTTGTAGCCTAGGCTGGCCGAAAACTCACAGTCATCCTCCTGTCTCAACCTCCCGAGTGCTGGGATTACAGGCGTGTACCACCATGCCAGGTGGAAATAATTTTTTAAAGGCCCAAGAAGAGTTAAATGTGTCTTTCATGTAGACCCACAGGGCCAGGCAGGCGTGAGGCAGTGGCACTGCCACCATTCACCCATGTTTGTCATTTTTAGGTGGCAGGCGCTAGTTGGCGGGCTTTTGCTGCATGTATCGTGGATGCGGGGCTGGGTGGAGATCCACAGTGGCTCCAGGTATGTGGGCTCTCATCTGGGGGCCTGGGGTCACGGGGTTGAGGCTCATACCCTTTGACCTGGATCCCTGAACCCCTTGTGGTGTCACACCCAGCATCACGTGGTATCTGGGGGCTTGGGCTCTGTCTCCTCTTCTGATCTTGAGATGTGATTTATAAAACAGTGATCCTGGCTAGTCACACCCTGGGTATTATGAAAGCTAATTGATGTTTGAGTTACAATGCCATATTAATTTGACTTTGTTTTAGATCATAAGATTACTATATGAACTTTAAATTATTTTTGTAGCTCTTTATTCTGAATTATTTGGTTATTTATTTTTGGCATTAGGAAGCAAAGTCAAGGATACTACCTCTGAGCCACCTCCACAACCCTTTGTCATTTTTCGTTTAGAGACAGTGACTTGCTGGGTGATACAGGCTGGCCTCAGACTTGTAGTTCTGCTTCAGCCTCCCAAATAGGTGGGATCACAGGCTTGTGCCAGCCCACTCATTTTCTTCTTTCTTTCATTCCCTCCTTCCTTCCACCAAGGATTGAACCCACGGTCTTTACACTGAGCTACATCCCCAGCCCTTTTTGTTTTTCCAGTTTTGAGACAGGGTTTTGTGAAGTCTCTAAATTGCCCAGGATGGGTTTGAATTTGGGATTCTCCCACCTCAGCCTCTCACAGTGCTGGGATTACAGATATACCACTACACCTAGCTTAAATCTTTTACTCCACCTTCTGGGCTTTGCTAGGTGGCTTCATAGCATACAGATGATGTTGCCTTAATAAAGCTTCTTGTCAAAGATCCCCATGTCTGGGTTTTTCCTTGACTTGTGGTTGATAACCACTAGCACCACTCAGGGTTTCCGGTCACCTGGCCCTGGGGAGGGGTGCTGCTGGAAATGAGCAGAAGGAGCTGGTGATGGGCTGTGTTTGTCATGGTTGCTGAACTCCAGCTTTCCCGGGTTGCTGTGTGTTTTAGCAGAGCCAGCAGAGGTTCGGCTCCGCTGAAAATGCAAACAACAGTGTGAAGACAGCCTGGGGTTCAGAGGTGATGCAGAGTGGGGTTGTCATGGGGGAGCCGGAGCGTTGGTCCCAAAGGGGCCATGGACAGTATATGCCCTGGAGGACTCCACTCCCAGAAGGCCCAGGTCCGCCTCCAGCCCAGCCGTGTGTGATACTACAGAGGCCGTGTCTGCCGTGTGCCGCTGTCTCTCACTCGTGTCACGCCCATGTTACACCCTGGCCGTACCGGATGACCTCATAGAGCCTTTGTCCTCCCAGGATGTGTGCTTGGTGACCACTTATTACCTTATCCTGGATGATGCCTTGAACCTGGCATCACGGGAAGAAAAGCCCTGGTTTGCAGCCACAGGCTTGTCATATTTTTGGCAGTGACTGTGCTGAGCCGGGGCAGTAACTAGTGGTTTTTCCAGCAGTTGTCTGGTCCTGTGTTTCCTGCACAAAGCCATTAAGGGGCGCTGTGGCAGCTTCGCCTGCCTGCATGCCCAGCAGTGTGGGGAAGGAGATGTGGCATTTTAAGTTCTTAAGCCAGGACTGAGAGTAGCCTCAGACATGACCCTCACTTCCTGCTGCTGGGTTACTTGTTTACATGAGAATGCACCAGAAGTGATTGTTCATTTGAAATAGGACCAGAGATTGGGGCATTCAGACTTGACTTTAATATGAGAAATTCTAAGTTAAAAAGTCAGTGCCACAGTTTCTTGAAGACTGGAGATTTCTAAGGTGAAGCAGAATTCTGCATCCCTTAATTTTCCATGAAAATCATTCCGGGCTGGGTAAGGTGGTACATACCTGTAGCACAGCATTCTGGAGGCTGCGGCAGGACGATCACTGTGAGGCTACCCTTGGCCAGCCTGAAATACCTAGCAAGACAACCCAACCCAACACAACAACAAAAGACGCATTCCTGCAGAGTCATAACAGGTGTCTTCGTTGAAACTGCCAGGTTAACTTAGCACTATTTGTAAAGCACTGACAGGTCAGTTACAGTCCGAATGCTGGTGAACCTTA